CGATATCATTATCAACAATCACTAATCAACAAGCAAAATCACAAGAACAGAATGATTCTGAATTAATCCTATCATCAATTAGTTTATTGAGAAAAACGTTCGATGAAGCATTCAAAATATTTGATAGGATTAATGAAAAACCACAAGAGCTACAGCATTTTTCACCCGATCTTTATTGGAATAGTCTACCGTTATTTTTAAAGAATTTTATTGGTATTCCGACGCTTAATGACAAAAATTATGTAAAGAATTTTCTAAATGTCTGAATCGTTTAATTAACATGATTTTGAATGTTTTAGACCGATTTTTCGAAAAACTATTCATCATACGAAGTGTTTAAAACAGATTGTTCGCAAAAAGTAATAAATGGCAGAAAATTAGTTCAATATCGTGTGATATACTAAATTCTCGAAACTTTTTACATACAACGCCCAAACATCTTCTTATTTGAGAGTTACTGGCAAAACATGATAACTCTTTACAGTTACTACAAACAATGAACAAATTAGGACACAGTTGTTCCTACGAAAGTTTAATGCGGTTACACACCTAGATCGCTAAACAAGAAGCAAGTTTAATACATATACCATCATATGCACTAAGAATCTGTTTCGCTATCAAAGCAGTCGATAATTTTGACTAGTAGGTTACTGTACTATTTTATTCTGCACATCTCTCATCTTGCTTAGGCATACACCAATGCAATATATTGGATTTCAATATTGTTGTACACCCAATATACTGGAGCCAATAACATTGATCACCCAATATACTTGTTTTTTTTCCACAATATTATTGGATATTGGATCGATTGAATTCAGCCTACTTTGACAGTACAGACGCATGTTCTATATCCCGTTTTGAATCAAAATATAACCCAATCAGGCATGCACCGATTAATAATCGATGTTAGGGCATTCAGCAAAGTCGTTTCGAATCAGTTATAAAAAAGCATTTAGAGCTGCCAAATGGCTCATTTTGTAGAAGAATGTTTGCTGTACCAAACTGAAGTGCAGAAAATTTTTTAGTGTTTTCTGTGACAGAAATATAAGCATCTAAAACTGAGCAAAATTGCGAAAAAATAATTATTATTATTATATAATTATATATACAGAAAATATGATAAATCGAAAACGCATTAAGATCGCAGAAAAGTAATCGATAGTCGATTATTTTTTCGCAATTTTGCTCAGTTTTAGATGCTTATATTTCTGTCACAGAAAACACTAAAAAATTTTCTGGACTTCAGTTTGGTACAGCAAACATTCTTCTACAAAATGAGCCATTTGGCAGCTCTAAATGCTTTTTTATAACTGATTCGAAACGACTTTGCTGAATGCCCTAACATCGATTATTAATCGGTGCATGCCTAATCCGGATCGTGATGCATTTTTATATCCCAATTGGGATATATAGCTTGACAGGGATATATATCCCGACTGGGATATGGTTCCTCACGTTTTTATGAATGTAAATGATATTGATGTTAAAAAGTTCGAATCCAGTGTATTGTGGAATCCAATATTATTGGTTATACAATAATATTGGGACCCAGTATAACTGGATACCAAATAATATTGTACAATATCGTCAATAATGATTGGTATTGGTGCATGCCTATTCTTGCTTACTTTCAGGAGCTCTTAAATGACGCTCATTTCGCTTGTTTCTCCTAGTTGTCCTGAAACGTTACATGGTCGTGATAGCATTCACATCGTTACACAAATCATCGTACAAAACCCAACAAATCTTCTTGAGCCAAAAATGTTGGCACCAATCAGAATTAGGTCGTCAAATAATGTTGCTTCATTGACGTCTCGCCCGAGAGAATGGAATTTTAATAACATTTCAGCAATAAACATATCTCCGATTGTGAACAATAGCAAGAGCGAACATTAATAAATAACTATCGCCCTTACGAGCCATTTACCTTTAAAATGGAAAAACCTTATCTATTGACATATGCGCTGATTTCTAACTGTGCTTTGAACAAACAAATTCAATTCCCAATATTATCTGGCTTTTTTAGCACATTTATATTTTATGAAAGGCAGGAAAAACATGAAATTACATATTGCTCTCCAATCAATGAACCACCAACATCGACAGAAACTGCAACGGCGATTCTAAAAACAACAAAAGCTCAATTCATCGAATCAGGGTTCCAGGTAAAGGATCTCTTCGTGATTATGAAAATGGCAGGATAGACAACTGACATTCTGAAATCTTCTGTTAGAAAAATTTGTAAATTGCTTGTCTCTTTTTAGGAAAAAGCTGTTATCATTATGGATGAAGGTCTCTATCACAGTGTGATCAAAGTGAAGGACCAGAATCCATTAGAATTTGAAGCAGTTATTCTACTCGGCGGAGATTTCCATGCCTTAATGAACTACATGCGTATGGTGTGGAGTGTGCTAGATGATAGCGGAATACATGAATTGTTAAATTATTTATACCAAGGAGCCACATTAAAATCTGTTATTAACGTGACAAATTTTAACAAATCATTACGTGCTACAAAATTACTGTACACTGCATTGTATGTCGCTTGTTTTGAACAATTTTTAACAACAACAAATGTACAGCAAAGTATAACTGATGCATTGGACAACATACCATCATTTTATACACAAGATAATGTCAAACAGAAATGGTGTAATGACTTAATAAATACGATTAATAATCATGACCTAGAAAAGAAATTTAAACAATATTGTGAGACAAATTCATTGAGCAACAAACATTTTCAGTTTTGGAGTTATGTGTTATTCTCTTTAATAGAGCCATGTATCGAATTATTAGTAGCTATTAGATCAGAGAATTTCAATTTACGTAACAACTGTTGAAGTAAAATAGTCCCATTGTTTTTTGGACATAATCGACTACGGTACGCAAAACTAGGCGGTAAATTTTATTCACACTTATTTCTCCTTCTATTTTCTACAGTCGCGTATTGTTTTCTCATGGCTGTTTTACATATTTCAGCCAAATTTTTGGCTGAAATACAAATTATTTCGAGTACGTTGCGAGCACATTTAGCAAAAGGGTTTGCAGTAAGAAGAAGCGAAAAACCCTTTTCAAGCATACCGGTTGACCAAGCACTTGAATGTTCTGTCAATAAATTAGGTAAAAAAAGCGAGATAAAAAAAGTAGAAAAACAACAAATTTCTTATGTTTGAAAATCTGTCTTTCTACTTCCAGGAAAGGGAAGAAATTATATCTCCGAAAAATTTACTGAAGGAGCTATAGATCGTTTTTGTAAAACTCTGGTTTATCGTACGCTAATTTATTCTGTTATCAATGAAATCGTCGATATCGAAACAAACAGCAACGCTCTTGATGGACATGTAGAATGTTCACCAAGTCGCTTACAAATTGATCGTCAAGATTTAAACATATTAATATCAAAATTAAACATGAAAACGTATTCTCATCACAAAGTCAGCAAATGACTGAATTATTCACTGGAAAAATAGTACACAATGACATCATTGATAGTATATGCTCAAGCTTCAGTAGAAGCGAGCTAGAGTTAAAGAAATTTGTTCAAGAACGCTTAATAGATAAAAGTGTCCATATTGATTCAAAAATGACAAGAATGAAAACATTAAAATTAATTGATATTGACACGTACGGGGCGAAAAAAACAGCATCACAAAAGAAACAAACAACGAAACAATATGAAACAAAATTGCGCGATCTTATTGTAGTCGGTTCACAGGATCATGATATTAATTTAATTGATTATCTGAAATATGAGTATTATGATGTACCACCAGCGTTATCCGATAATTTTCAACTATTAAACCCATCTAACAATAATAAAGTCATTGAGTATTTTATGGAAAACTATCCACAACAGTTTGCATTCACACAATCAAACGACGAATTAGAAGAAAGGGTACTATTAATTGATAGAGATATTTTGTTACAACATCATCCAAAGGCAGGAGATACAGTATCTACGTATGCTAAATATTTATTTAATGAGATTATTAACCAAAGTTCTACTTATGAAAGAATCGACGTGTTGTTTGATTCAAATCAGAGTAAAAGTATGAACATTCTCTTATCAGCGACTTACCCAGGATTTCAGTAAGGGGAGGGCCAAACCTCTTTTTTGTCAAAGAAAAAAGTTCTTGTGTAGTATTTTTATTTTCGATTGGGATTAAAATACTTTTTTACTGCGAAATGAAGACAACAAAATTTCGAAAGTGTGGGTCATGGCCCGCCCCTGGCTTAGTGCTGGATACGTCGCAGTCTCTTATTGCCCTAGAGGTTACTATTAGAATATTTCAGAAAGCAAGTTTTTCATCAAAAGACATGCCAACAGAAAAACAAATGCTTACCAACTCACAATCGATACAACATTGGAATACAGAAAAGAATCGTACAACGTATTTATATCAGAAAACCGTGCAGCTCTCGTTCAATGTTTGCGAGATGTTTGGTTAACATTATTTTATTTAATACCTCAAGACAAGCTTTTTCACGTTGCTGGTCCTGATGAGAATTGTTATCGTTCGAATACACATGGACGTTACAATGACACTTTATTGAAATGTAATCAAATTGATGCCGTTACTCGTTTGTTTTATCATGTCAAAAATGTTAGTGTAGCGAAATGCTTGAATTTTAATAGATTTTTGCACTTTCGC